TTATAGGTTGCACAGGGCAAAGTCTAGAACTCTATTTACCAAAGCATTCAAGGTTCTATGTATCTCTGGTAAGGTGATAGGATAAAAGGCTATCTGTCTTTTGTTCACTTTTGTTTTCCACATTTCCCACAAAGAGCTTGTATTTCTATATCAATTCACTGTTCTCTGTGACCCTTGGTTCACTCAATGAAATGTCCTTTCATTTCAATAACCCTCCCTGGCCACTTCTGAAAAGGGATCATTCCTTTGCAAATACACACTTTTTGGTAGCTGAGTAGCTTTGAGATTCTTCTTTCTTCCCAATGGAAGCTGAAGGCGTAGAAGCATAGATGATAGATGATAGATGATAGATGATAGCTATAGATGATGATATAGATATACATTAGATATAGATGTAGATATACCTTGGATAGTCTAGTCTGTGCTGGTGCTACTTTTGCTAGTAAAGATCTCCCCCCAAAATTAAAGGTCTTTATTTAAGTTAACTCTGGGTATTAAAAGTTACATGACACTTGTTGAGAATTATGAGTTCTTTGGGCACAGCACTATACATTCAAAGTTTTCTAAAAGCTCAAGAGTTCCGCCTTTTGGGGGAGGGGGGTTGAGACAGGGTCTCACTATATAGTTGAGACTGACCTGGAACTCACTATGTAGCCCAGGCTGGTCTTGAACTCACAGCAATCCTCTTGCCTCAGCCTCCTGAGTGCTGGGATTACAGGTGTGCACCACCACGCCCAGCTCCACCTTAATTTTTTTAGAGTTCTTGATAATGTGATCGCCATGTCCTTCATGGTCTTTACCTAGTTTAAATTTATCTTTCTTCTGTGAATCTTTGCTGAAAGTTGCAAAAAGGAACCCCAAAGTTGTGATTTTTTTTTCCTGTTTTTCCTCCAACATATGTCATAAAGTTGGCACGTGGTCAACGTCTCAAATGGCAACAGGCAAGTTTGACTAAATAGTTTACCAGGGGATAACAAAGGTTATCAGCTTCCCAGTATGACATAGCTGGACCCATACTATCCAACACCCCATCTCTTCTCCTTAGCCAATTTTGATTTGTGTGTATTTTAGAAAAGTACACATCAGATACCAAATTTGTATTAGTCATGATTCCTAATTGGAAACAACAGAAACTAATTCCTGCAAGAATAAGGGGAGCTAACAAGGAGTGCAGCTCACAGATTCCCCCGAGGACCAAAGAACCATTCTTAAGAGGCTGCACAGCTAACTACAAGGTAGACACCTCTGCGGACTGCGCTGGGCCACAGATTGTCACATCACAGACTATCACACCACTCCCACCTCTGTCCTCACTACCACCACTCAGCTATGGAGATTGTTATTTACTTGTTAGAGCAATCAGTATTATGCTAAAAGACTTTTTGCTTGTTGGTTTGTTTGGTACTGGAGATCGAACTCAGGACTTTGCCTTTGTGAGGCAGGCACAGTGCGACTGAGCTAAATCCCCAGCCCTGCTAAAAGAATTTTTACACATGAAGACATTTTGAGTTTTTAATCAAAATTTTTCTCTTCCTTGATTGAGACAATTTAATTTGCTTCATGGTCTAATTTTCTAAAATTAAAACATCATGGTACACTTAAACTCAATATAGTCATAATATATAATCTTTTCAGATTGTTGGACTAAGGATGACACATTGGCCCATAATTCTTAGAAAGAGCTATGTCAATAGCACATAAATTGGACTTCTGGGCAAAGAAAATTACTAGAGACAAAAGAACTAGTCAAACAAGAAGACACGATGATCTTACACCAAAAAAATACAGCTTCAAATATCTAAGCAAAAACTGATGGAGCAGAAAAGAGAATGAGACAAATTTACATTGTAATTCGAGATTTTACCAACCATAAAAAGGCAGTACAAGAAAAGACAATTATAGACTAGCATTCTTGTGAACAAAGATTCTCAAAAAAATATTAGCAAATTAAACCTAGGACTATAGAAAAAAATAATATATTAGAACCAATGGAGTTTTCAGACATGCAAGATGGTTTCAATATTTGAAAATCAATCAGTGCAATCCCCCATAGTAATAATCGTGCACAGAAGAAAATTCTGATTATCATACCAATTGATGCTATAAGTAATACTTCATAATAAAAATAAAATACTCAGCAGCCCAGGAAAAGATGGGAATTTTCTGGACCCAATGAAGAACTAGAAGCCAAGCATGATAGTACCCACCTGTAATACCAACACTCATAAGGCTGAGACAGGAGGATTCCAATGAGTTCTAGGTCCAGCCTGAACTGCATAGCAAGACCCTGTCTCAAAAACAAACAAACAAAAAGAACTAAATCATACTTAATGGTGAAAGATTGAATACTTTTACTTCCCAACTTGGGAAAAGTCAAGGCTGCCCACTCTTATTCAATATAGTTCTAGAAAGCATAGCCAGCGCAATAGGACAGGAAAAGGTAATAAAGTTATAGAGATTCAAAAGGAAAAAATAAAACTATACATATATTCACAGATAACATGATTGCCTATTCAGAAAATCCAAAGAAATCTTTTTTAAAAAACTCGGACAAACAAGTGACCTTAGCAAGGTTGCAGACATGAGACCAACACACTGAAATGTCATACTTCTTTATACCAACTGTAAAAACTTAGAAACAAGTTCTATAATTTTACATATTTATAATTTATAATTTACAGGCTGAAAGTTTTGTCTTTACCAGCTATATAGATTTGTGCAAATTTCTTAAACACTTGGAATCTCACATTCCTCCTCTGGAAAATGTAGTTAAAACTACTATTCAGGGTTTCCACAGACTCCTAGGACAAAGCACATAGAAATACTTCCACAGTTTGATGGGACAGGTCCAGTCAAAGCATTCACCGCAGTTCATTCCATGGCAATTTCTGCTCAGGCCCCCTCCTCTTGTGGGCCTCCCTGACTTTGTGACTTTCTTGTATTTTATTACTTTCTTGCTCTTCATTCCCATTTGGCTTAATTTTATTTATGGATAACTTTCCACCACTAACCTTTGACTCTTGGAAGTTTTGTGTGTGTGTGTGTGTGTGTGTGTGTGTGTGTGTGTGTGTGTATTGTTGGTATTGAACCCACAGCCTTTACATTCAACTATATCCGTAGTCCTCTTTTCATTTTGAGACAGGGCCTCACTAAGTCAGTAAATTGTCCAGGCTGAGCTTAAATTTGCCATCCTCCTGTCTCAGCCTCCAACACCTGGCTTAATCTTTGACTTACCAGTTGAGTTTTTCATCAGCCCTTCTCACCACATGGAAGATGTTAGTTTTATGTCAGTCTGCACAGGCACCTCTTCTCAAGCCATGCCTTTGCGTCATGCCCTCACACTCACTACCACCCTCTGAAATGACCTTCACCAGTTTCCTCTCCTGTGAGAAATTTGCCCTGTAGGTCAGGTCTGTATGTCAGTCAGGTTTCTGTTATTGTAACAAATACCTGAGACAATCACCTTATGAAGAGAAAAGGTTCATTTTGGCTCACAGTTCTGGAGGATTTGGTCCACAGTTGGCTCACCCTGTTACTTTGGGCATCCGGCAAGGGAACACATGAGAAGAGAAATAAATGGCAGAGCAAAGCCACTCACTTCATAGCTCATAACACATGAGCCTTTAAGGTCTTATCAGATCCGAACCATAGAAGTTTAATTCTAAATTAATAAAAACAAGTTTAATCAATGAATTAAATTACTTTAGTCAATAAATTTTATTAGCACCTAATACCTGCCAACACTGAGGATACACTGTTGACCCAAACAGGAACAAGTCCTGATCTCATGGAGCTTATGGTTTATTAGACAGATTGCTGTTAAATCACTAATTATAAGGAAATAATTACAGAATTGTGCTTTGCAGGGGAGAGTTTATGTTAAGATGTCTGAAATCAGTCATACCAGTATCTACTACAAAAAGGTGACACATGTGGAAGTGTGCAAAAGGTTTAGTCTTTGGTACCTGAAAATACATTGATGATACAGGTGAGCACACTTTTTTAGAACATGCTTCCTGAGACAGCTCCCATCATACTCAGTGGGCTGCCCCTGTCAACACAAGGTCTGGGACCATGCTGCAGGGTGCATTTGCCTCCCCTTCCACTGAACTCAGGATCACTCCTGTACTTCTTCCACTTAATTCTTCACACCCAATGAGAGTGCAAGCCCCGAGGCTCCCTCTCATCAATACTGGAGAAGAGTGTATACTCACGCCACAGAGTACCAGGAGCAACATAAAGTACTACAAATGAGAAGATGCAACAGACTGACTCCGAATCCCATGAGCTCTGAACAGATGAGGGAGGGAGGCCTGAGCCTGGTGTGGTCACCAACCAAGCAGCAGAGAGACATGGTAGTGCTGTGGGAAGAGAAGTGGACAATCCAGGTGGAAGGTGCAGAAGGGACCCGGTTCACACATGGATGACAGACTTCAGGAGGACACTGGCAGAGTGGACGTGCTCCCTCTGCACTTCTGATGACAGGGCTGGAGTCACAGGGTGCAGATCCAAGCTATCAACTTTCTAGAAACTCGGTGGGATGGGGCACTTCATCAGACAGTGAGCTTTCCGCCACTGAACATAGTCCGGAGCACTGGTCAGAGGTGGTGTCGACAGGAGCCCTGAATTCCAGCGCTCCTCTCTGGACTGGTGTACAGGTATTTGAGCATCTGGTCCAACAATGTTCAATGGGCTCATGGAGGTAGGACAACTACTTCTGTCAGCTGGTGCTGAGTGTGCTTTCAGGCTTGGGACCAGACCTCAGTGTGTCAACTCAGAAGGGGCCAAGGGCAGGAAGTAAGATGAAGAGTTTGCTGACTTGTACCTTTGCTCAGAACATAAATATCCAGGTGGAAATGCCCCTCAAGGAATACCTATTCCTACCATGTACATAGGGAGAGGGCCACTTTTTTTTCTTTTTTTTTTTTTTTTTTTTTTTTTTTTTTTTTTTGGTACTGGGGGTTGAACTCAGGACCTTGCGCTTACAAGGCAGGCGGCGGGGGCACCTTCTTATACCATTAAGATCAGTGGGCACAGACCCCTTCCTCAGCACAAAGAGGCTGGAAAGATCCTAAGGATTCTAAGAAAATGGCCAAATAAAAACCTATACTTGGTTAAACTATCCCAATGAATTACATTCAAAACTTCATCTGAAGCTAGTGCATGCCTGTAGTCTCAGCTACTAGATACACTTGAGCCTAGGAGCCCAAGGCCAGACCCAAATATAGTGAGACTCCACCTCACACACAAAAAAAATCTCATCTGACTGCAAATGATCACAATTCAAATTTGTATGGGAGTCTCGCTCCCATACAAATGGGCACAGCATTCAGTCCTGAGGCCTTGGAATTGCTCCTCTGGCATGACCAGTGCAAACCTGAGTGAGAAGTCAGAAGAACCAGAGGAGAGCATGCTCTACTTCCAAAGGAAAAGAAAGAACTGCCCTGGTTCAAAGACCAAATTTTACAGGACCAAGCCTCAGATCTTTATAACAGTAGAAATCATTGGAAAAGAAAACCTTAAATGCATTCTGGGGGAAAAAAAACATTTTAGGAGACAAGATCTCGGCATTCCTCAGAAGCAGGCAGGTCACGGTGTTCCACATTCTCTTTCAACACAGGGAGCACTTGAGACCCCACAGACAGGAAACACGGAGAAGATGAATCCAAGGATGTATGCATCAGGTACACACCGAAGTTCACCTGTGCACAGAACAAGAGCAAAAACCAGAAAGGCAAGATTATTTTGGTTAAAAATAAAATAATTTTGCAAATAATAATGATACCTAAGATAAAGTCAGATCCTTAAAATTATGTATGCAACATGTAAGTTACTGGGGTTTAAATTACTTGGAAGGTCATATTTGTTACATAGGAGAATGCACCGGACAGGAGGAGAATCCTAATTTTAGGACCTAAATAATCTCCCTCCAAGGTTTGCCTTCCCTGCAGTGGCCCCACACCTATTTCTTGCTGGCCACACTCTCTTCACTCTTTCCCATAGGCCCTGAGCTTCACGCAGGAGCATGTCCTGTTCTTAGCCTCTGACTACTGCCAATCTAATTTTTTTCTCTATTCTCTAATGTAAACGCCATATGAGGAAGACGATGGAAAATTCCTGCACTTTCCTTGAGAATGCATACGTAAAGTTCTCCAAATTTTCCAGAATAAAAATAAAATGTCTAAAAATGAAGAATTTTGTCTGTTCGATGACTGCCAGCAATGCAAGAGGACCATCAAGAACCCTTGGGAGAATGTGAGATGGACCCAGATGTGTTAGTTCCTGTGACAACATCTTCAAATGCCCCCGTATCCCAGGCCCCAGGCTGGGGCTGAGTTAATTCCTTAGGATCTGTGCCCATGCGGGTGAAGAGGGTCAGGGTTCAAATATTTGAACATAAAAAGTTTGTGGGGCCGGGGATTTAGCTCAGTGGCATCATGCCTGCCTTGCAAGTATAAGGTCCTGAGTTTGATCCCCAGTACCAAGAAAAAAAAGTTTTTGCCCATAAGAATTAAAATGATGCTAAGAAATGGTATTTCCATGCCCCATGGTAATTTTGTCCACCATCCCTTCTCCAACCTACATGGGGCAGGCTCAAAATCCCTCAGCCCTATTAATGTGGCCTGCAACAACTGAGCAGACACACTACTGTAGCATTGAAAGGCAATACCGCCTAAGACCCTGTGTGTTCCATATTTATAAGGAGACTTGCAAAAATCAAATACTGTGAACAGAACCTCTCCCTTTTTTTCAGTGCTAGGAATTGAACCCAGAGCCTCGTAATGCTAAGCAAGAACTCTACCATTAAGCTGCATTTGCACCCCCAGCCCTGAATCCGCTTTTGAAGAAACACAGGCAACGCTGTAGAACATCTGACCATGAATTAACCAGCCAATTCATTCTTGGACAAAAATTAAATTTGTATGATTTCTGTGAAATTGTGAGAAATTTTTAATGTAGCCTCGCTGTTTATTTGGTTTCGTGCAATTCTTCACAAACAAAAAGTCCTAACAGAAAATGTAACGCTGAAAATAAATGTTTCTAAACAATCGGTGTAAATGCTTAGTATTTATAATCTGGAATCCCTGATAACATTTAGTCACTTTAAACTCTGAAAAGATGAACGACAGGGTCAGTATAATGAAATTTAGGAAATCTTTTACACAGCTGCTCTATCACAGTAAGCCATTTTACTCTTATAAGATCTTGACAGTGAAGAAAAAAATGAGCAAGACAACAGAATTACTTTATTTTTTATACTCCTTATATCTTGAACAAGATTTGAGAACATAAAAAAAATGTGATAAAACAAACACCCCCATGAATGTAGCTGTACTGTCTACCTAGAATGTACCAATAAATTAAATTTTTACAAAAACACCCCCTCCCCCAAAAAAGGAGAAATTGAACAGAAAGGAAAGTAAAATGGAGCAATAGACAAAATTAGACCTTAAATGGTGGCACACTGGCTTTGGAAAGTGCAGCAAACTACCCAGTGTCAGAACAGTGCTGTTGCTATCACATCCAGATCTTAAAACAAGATGTCCGAGTTTGCAAACATGCTTACTTTTCTCTTGCGACTCTCGGAGAGTTTTTGGAAAACGTCTTGGTTTCGCTGCCCAGTCTGCTGGTTGATGCAAATCATCTGGCATCTGTGACAAGGCCCCAGAACCTGCCACAGAAATGACAAGACCTTGGCGTTTTGCAGGGAGGGCTCACACAGAAAACTAGAGAAAGCCAAAAAGTGGCCCCTGTGAGGAGGGAGGTTAGCTACATGGTTTGTCAGCTGAAAAGTTGCTACTTAAGGGATTCATAGGAAAAGAAAAGAGCATCTTGACTGTTCTCAGGGGATGCTAGGGACTCTGAGGAAGGAAAGCACTCAGTGATGGGGAAGTCAAATGAGGAGAGAAGAAACTGCCAGCGCTGGGCCATGACAAGAAAGTCATCAAAAGGACGTTCACGTGACCAGGACCTTTGATTGGCACCTTCACTTCTAGGGACTGAATCTGAGAGAGGGACCAGCAGTACCAACACAGAGTCACGTATGAGGATTTGACCTTATACTGTTGACAGTAAAGAAAACTTGAGAAAACTTGGCACCATCTTATACATGATATAGTAGAAAAGAATGGGTAAACAAACCATGCTACATCTACAGCATGTATATCATGCAGGCATTAAAAATAATCTATCAAGACCTATAAATAAAATTAAGAAATATTTGTTTTTAAAATTAAAGTGAGCAAAAAGTACAATTTTAGTGTGTATTTTTAAAGTATAGATGTATAGATAGACCACACACACACAAACACACAACACATAAAACAAAATATTCAACTGTTTAACACAGGTCAAACGAGATGGTAGAACTTCTAAAACTGGTGATTTATCTTGAGATTTTAATCGCTTTTATTAGCAAGAATATCCCCCTGTAAATGTTAATATAAAAAGAAAACCTTAAGCAGTAAGGAGATAATTATTTTACTGCACACATAAAAGATACAAAGGTATTTGTTTGCCAGGGTCTCACTATGCTGTCCAGGCTGGCTTTAAACTTCTGGGCTCAAGTGAACCTTTTGCCTCAGTCTCCCAAGTAGCATAGGCACAGCATATCCAGCAAATGGTTTTCTTATAATCATTTTCTCCTTGCTCATTTGCTCACTCACGGACAAACACAAATTAAGTACTGAAAATAGAAACACTGATCTGGATATGCTTTGGTCTGTTCCTATCACTCACATTCTGATCACTAAAACTGGAAACATAATCTCTCTGTAGTATCAAAGTCAAGATTTCTAGGCCACGAAAGCAGCCGGTGTGTGCTGTAATGGAATTCTGCCCCATGCTCGTCTGTGACACTCGGCAGACCTATGACCTCTTCAAGCCTCACTTCCGCATCCAGAAGCCTAGCTGTATTTAACTAGGATTCCAGACACTATTTCGGGGATGCCAAGCCCATGCCTGGCATTCAGTCATGGCCCAAAGTGGAAACTTGCTGGGGATTTAGCTCAGTGGTTCTGCTGCCTGCCTTGCAAGCTCAAGGACCTGAGTTCAATCCCTGGTACCAAAAAAAAAAAAAAAAAGATACAGGATACTTCAAAGTGGAAACTCATTGTTCTCCTAGAAAATGGCAGACATGGTGGGCCTAGTGCCTGTGGAAGGGACATGGGAGGCCAGCAGCACACACCAGCCCTAGGCCCAGGCTCCACTTGCCACTAACAGACAATAGGTAAAAATCCTGAAAGCTTGTTTAAACGGCTCTCTCAAAACATTTTTGCAAACTGACAGAAGGGAGCACATTTTTCCAGACACTCTTCAGACACCAACACAAAGAACATAATTTTCTTAGACTGTTGTTCTTTTTAAGGGTGTCTTTATTTTTCTAGTACTCTTATCAGTTGGTAATTTTTTTTTCAGTTGGTAAGTTAGATATTTGTATTCTAGCATACGTACTCTCTGAAAAATAGGTCAAAGAATAAGAAGCATGAAGAATTAGAAAACAGTAGGGAGTGGTATCTCCTCCTGTCCTGAGAGACCAGTGCTGCTGAGGGGCTACAGAGCATTTTGCACAGTGGCACGGAGCTGCCACAGCCACAATCCGTGCCTGTGTGACCACATACTGGCACTGAAAGGCCACAAGGGTCTCTCTCAAATACTTACAAAGCCAAATCATCTGCACATTATGTAATTCTCCCCATGGGTGCCTTGGAACTCCCATGACTTGTATTTAGCTTTTCTCCTTTAAAGCCACATAAATATTTTCTAATTATTTGCTGTTATCAATAATTGCGCAGTCAAGGTCTTAATTCACATAATTCTCTCTCTCTCCCTCCCTCTCTCTTTCTCTCTCTCTGTCTCTTTCTCTCTCTTATTTGTATATTTTTTCAGAATTAATCTCTCCTAAAGAGATCATAACAGAAAAGTATTTATGACTTGATGATGTCCAGTAAAAGATGCTCTCTAAAAGAAGGGTGTCACCGGGTATGGTGGTGTACACCTGTAATCCCAGCACTTGGGAGGCTGAGGCAGGAGGATCGCTGCAAACTCGAGGCCAGCCTGGGCTACATAGTGATTTCCAGGTCAGCCTCAACTACATAGTGAGATCCTATCTCAAAAAACCAAAATAAATAAATAAATAAATATTTTAAAAAAATAAAAGAAAGGTGCCATCATACTGCAGTGATACGGCACATCCATGTTCAGAGCAGCACAATTCATAATAGCTAACTACATCTTGGAAGGGGCCTCTATGTCCACCGACAGAGGAATGGGTAAAGAAAATGTGGTACTTATACACAATGGAGTACTACTCTGTCCTAAATGGTAAACAAGGCATTTGAAGGAAAAAAGATGCACCTTGAGACCATAATGCTAAGTGAAATAAATCAGGCACGCAAGCTGAAATGTCCCATGGTTTCTCTTATATGGGAAACCTGAAATATAAAGAAGGAGCAAAATAAATGACTGATAATAGGAAATAGGGAGGCAGGTCTTTCTGCAAATGGAAAGGAGACCAAGAAATGGAGGGAAGGGAGAGGAAGTGAAAGGGAAAGGAATGGAGACTGAATTGAGACGTATTATGTATAAGAACCAATGCCCCATGAGAAACACGATCAGTAGGTACTACACCCATGTACTAACAAGACAAAAATGGAAAAATAAAGTCTTGCTAATTGCCCTTCAAAAAAACAGTTAGGGGAAGCTTGTTTAGGGGAAGGAGACAAGGTCAGCATCAGACGCACAGAGGAGAACGGATGATGGGCTGGGAAGGTTGGTCTCTCTGTAGTGACTCTAGCACAGTTATCAACAACAAACATCTTTTAAACTCTAACATTGCAAAAGACAGAGCATTAGCTGTATCTTGTGCTAGCTGAAGTCTACCCAGCACTACTGTACAACCGTACAGAGTGAGAATCATTTATTTAACCTACTACGGATATTTAGAATGTTCTTTACTTTCTCACAATTATAACAATACTGCAATAAGTAATCTGGTAGCACATTTGTGCAAAGTGAAATTTTCTAAACTGAAATTATTGGACCAAAGAGTATACATATTTTAAATGTCATTATCTGCTATTGATTTTAAAAAGTAAAGCATGCTAGCTAGACATTGTCTCAGAAAGGTAGGCTCCTTAATGAGAACTTTTTTTTTTTTCATTTAAGGACCAGGTACCTGCAGAAACACAAGTGCTTCTGATACCAGGTGAGTTTCTGATAGCAATCTCAGTTTGGTTCACTTTAGTTCTCTTTCCCTCCCTGTCTCTTTCTTTTCTTCCTTTCGTACTCTCTCCGTCTTCCTGCCTGTCCAAAAAGGTATACATAGTGCCTGCTTTGCTCCAGACAGGACACGCAAGGGCAGGTGTTTTTAAAACATAGCAGAGACACTGATGGAAATTAAGGAAGACAGGAAGAAGTCTGGATGGAGGAATTAGGAGAAATGGCAGGAGGGATGGTGCCAGAGAAAGGTTTACGGGAGAGAATCTGGGAGAGAAGAGACCACTTTTTTTCTGAGGGAGGAGGAGGACAGCTACCAAGATGTCTGGGGAGTTAAATGGATTTTTTAAAAAATCACTGAGACTTTTTGCTGTTATCTTGCTATTTATCACACACACACACACACACACACACACACACACACACACACTCCAGACCTGAAATTCATTAATAATGATTTCAAGTACTGTTTACTGCTTTTCTGAATGTTGGAGAGATGATTGCTGTGTATGCACAGCCTGGACACAGGTAGCCAGCCCCATTCTATCCAGTTCACACCACCTGCTAACACACTACCAGTATTAAAATGATGTCATTCCCACTGAAGAACTGTGCACATTCTCTACAAATGAGCCATCGCTCTGTTCCCAGCTACTCCTTGCTATTGCTGTCCATTCATTCTCTCAACAGTTACCTACTGGGTACTAACACAGCCAGCGCTGTATGTACTATATTTGGATAGACAGCAAGAAACAAAACAGACTCAGTCCCCACCCTGTGTGTTATGGAGGGACAAGCAGACACTGTGCAGAGTGTGAATGTGCTGGGCCAGGCCACGCTTCCAAGGAGGTGACCCCTGAGTGACACTCGGGAGTGATACGTTAGCGGAAGGGACAGCAAAGGCAGAGATGCGGGTATAGGAAGGCTAGCTTATTATGGAGACAGACAAGGTCAGCATCAGAGGCATGGAGCAAAATGGATAATGGCTCAGGAAAGTTGGTATGGGCAGATCTCACAGGGCCTTGTGCGAGGAGTACAGATGATAGCCACACTTTTCTTCCCTTTCTCCCATCTTTGAAGCCACAGCAAAGGTCCAGCAGACTAAAGCCTGGGCCGAGATGACGTCAGTGGCCTTGCCTATGACTGTAGTCTCCTCCCCAGCTCCAGGGAGGGAAGAAGGTAGAGCATGTGGAGGAGACAGGGTGGCCATGGGCACCAAGCGACTCCCAGGCTTCTGGTTCTCCCTGTGCTTGCTGCACAAAAAGCCCAGCAAGTTCCAGGAGGATGAGATTTCACAGACACAAGCATTCCAAGAAAAGAGATTTAAGCCTAGACACGATGACAACGTAGAGGTGGCACCTAGCCTTCTGTTGGAGATACAGGGCACAGTGACTGCTCCTTATATGAAATTTCCACTGCCACCCTGGTGGGGAGTGAGACATGGAAAGACGTGGTAAGTGACAAGAATAGGGAGGGATTCTCACCGGTGTCATCCAAGTCTGGGGTTGAGCTCAATTGTCACTGATAACCCCAGAGAAAGGATAACGGAACTTTCCTGAACCTACCTGGAAATGCAAGGAACCAATTGAGGCCTCATTCCATTTCTCTTCTTCAAAAGCTCTTGTTCCATTCATAATGATATTGGCCCGGAACCGTGAGATGAGATCTTTCATTGGGAATAATTCCTCCTTTCCATTCTCACCACTGTTTTAGACATACGCAATGGGTAAGTGGAGGGAGGGTTACAGGGTAATAATTCACCATGCCTGCCACGCAACGCCTGACTTTACCCACTCTACTCTGGCCTGATGTACAGATGATCAGAACAAACTCATACCACTCATGTAAGGCTAAGAGAGACTCGCCCATCAAAGACACGTCGGTGCCCCCCGTCCCAGGACATGATCTCACTTCCAGGTAGACGCTCACAAGAACCAGGCAAAAAGTGAGAATGTGTTAGCCAAAGAGACGAAGGGCCTAGGAAACCAGATCAATGGAGCCAAGCGAACTAATTTCTGAGAAAATAAGTTCTATAAAGTGGGACAGAACAAAGCATTTACAGAGCTGAATTACCAATGACCTACAAAGCACCAAGAGCACACATTCTTTTGGATACTGAAATATCATAAAGAAATATAGAGGATAATTTCCCTAACTTCCATTCTATTTGCAGTTTTATCCAGCATTTGCTATTTTTATCATCCTTGTTTAAGTTTTTATTACCACAAAGCCTCCATGAATGCCCACACAGGAATGCACTGAAGACAGGTCTTAAAATTTCCCCAACAAAAGAGCACAGTCTGTATGATCCTGTTGCATTAAGTCCAAGAACAAATAAAATTACCCACAGTGAAAGAACTTGGAAGAGGGCTAAGTCCTTCAGTGGAATTGACCAAAAAGCGGTACAAGAGAGGTTGCTGGGGTATGGTCTCTACTTGATGGAGGTACTGGTTACACAGGTGCATATGTCTGTAAAAATTCATTTGGACTTTGTGTACTTCAGTGAATTTTTTTTTTTTTTACTGAATTGGTGTATTTTGGGGGTTGGAGGGATCCTCACACATAGTAGAATTTGCCCTGGACACAGAAGTGAAAGGCCACAGGCTGGGGGAGAAGGATTATCTCCAGGATGTCCCAACCCCTTCCAGCAAAGAGCACATGAAAAGCTAAGGACCAAGTTGAGCTTCTTCACAAACAACATGCAGCTCCCATGACCTGCGAGGACTGTGGCTTCCTCATCTGAAACGAGAGGGTTAAGACTTTCCATTCCACAAATCCTTGGATTCCAGATTTACTGTGTAGGTTACACATGCTTCTATAAAACATGTGTTTTGTAGAAAGGGAACTGTTTTGTTTGAAAGCTATAGTGGTAAGCATGCACATGATCGTCCCTCAAATCTGCAAATAGACCACAAAGACATATGAAGCAGGGGCCACAGGGCTAGTCACAGGCTGTTTCTCTCTGCCTTTGACTATCTGCCCCGCCCATCAGACTTGCTCTAAACCAAATGGAGAGAAATGTCTCCCCCTACTGATAAGAACCGGAGTTGTGGAAAGCCTGTACTCATCTCCTATCTTTCCACATCAAGTATCCCAGAAAAAAATAATAATGTGTTATGTACATGTACCAACTCCCCTCAATGAATATAATCATTATACACTACAAACATGTACTAATAAATACTTATTCCAAAAAAAGCCAAATATCACTGGGGGACAAAACAAACAGAAAGCTGCAGACCCCTGGTCTCCTATTCTGAGTACTTGAGAAAAAGGGTCCCTACATGCTAGAAAAACTCATGGAACACCCGGGACCCTGTAGCTGCATCATAATTCTGCTCCCAAGGAGGTCAAACTGAGCAACAGCAAGAAAATGCTGTTGTATGGTCTCACCAAAGACTATGAACAAGAATTATCATCAACAGGTCATCTTTAAAGAGCCCCAGGAGGGACTCTGGACCACTTTTATTAAGCTGAATTTGTGTGTTTCCAAGTGTGTAAGCCTGTGACCATGAGGCACATGACAATCCAAAATACTCAGCTGCACGGCTGCCAGAGGTGTGTACCCACCTCCCTGGCCTGTGCACTAGTAATATGGAGCCCATGTGCAGCACAGTTCTAGCGTAACACCTGGGTTATTTTCCCTAATTGTCTGGCTACTTTGATATTTTAGTTTCCTTTAAAGAAAAACAGAAGGGTTGGCCCCAAGCCCTTTCCAGTACTGAGCTGGCCTGCTGACACTGAGTCCTCAAGAGAGCATTGTGCCGGGGGGGTGGGGTGCTTGTTACATCTGGTGGTGCACCTTACAAGCCAAGTACACCTGCAATCATATGAAAAAGGCTTTCATACTGACTCTTTTGCAACCCTCAAAATGACTGCAAACTAGGCCAGGGGTCTGAGGTGACAACAGGAAGGTGGTCAATGAAATAGGGTCAAGGCGGTGACAATTTAATTAAAACAAATATTAAGAAATAGAATGGTTAACAAATGAAAGCTACAGTTCCACTGGGAATCGTGAAGGTGTCAAGGAGCACTGAAGATGGTGTAGTTTAGATCGTTAGTATACCCTATAGGTCCATGGTGGTGAAGACCCAGTCCCCAGTGTGGTATTACTGGGAAGTGGTGAAAACTTAAGAGGTGGAGCCTCATAGCTTTTGGGCAGTTATGAGAGGTGTGCTCCCAATGGGGTTGTGAGGCCCTCATCCTTCCCTGTTTTACCCTGCCCTGCTGTGAGATAACTGGGGTGTCCTCTCCCCTGTGCTTCTGCCACGATGTGCTGCCACAGGCCCAAAGCAACAAGGCCAACTAAGCATGGACTGAAATCTCTAAAACTATTCAAACTCCATAAATGGGTTACCTCGGGCATTTGTTACAGTAACAGTACTCTAACACAGAACATAGATGAGAACCCCTGGAAAGACGAATGGGAATTGGCCAAAAGGGCTACTGACTTGTGCTAGGCCTCAGTTTCTCGTCTGGAAATTAAAGGTCTGGACTCACCGTCTCCCAGATCCTCCCTCCCCAGGTGGGTGTCTGGCCTTGCTCCTAGGGACAGGTGTGTTTCCACTTGTCTGCTAGGCCTGTGGAAGATGTCTTACCTGGTGATCAATTGCTGATGAAGTTCCAGAATGCTCGATGTGTTTACCAGCAGGTACTGTGCCTCATTCACCAAAGAAAGGGCGGCTGTTATGCCAGTAGACTGATCTAAAAATGAAGCGAGTATTGAAGAGTTGCTCTTTTGGAACACTAATGAAGTTTCCTTTCCACAGACTGACATTTTCAAAGGTATATACTATTTCTACCTGGTGGGGTGGGAGCTGGCAAAAGCAAAACTGTTCTAAGCATGGCTCAAATCCCCCAAACCCCAAAAGGAATGTGAAATAACCTGGAAAAAAACAACAATAATAAAATGCTGAAGTGAAATTGATCCAGCAAAGGAGATTTGGCAATTCTGAGCAGAAGAGAGACTGGTGGAGGACTGGAGCACACCCACCCCTCAACAGGACAAGGCAGAGGAGCTTGACAGGGAGGCAGGCCACTGGGAGCTTCTGAATCTAATTAGGGAAAAGATACTGACTTGAAATAAGCGGTAGAAGATTTAAAACTACTGAAAGGAAAAAGATAAAACCACTGAAAGAAAATTTCAAAGCCCATCAGAATCGCTGGCAACCTGGCTTTGTTTGATGGGCCCACCCTCACTATCGCTATTCAAGCTGTTGGTAAAAAGGATTGCCTGGGCCAGGACCTAGTAAGCCACCTCCAAAGCAAGACTATGGACCCCAAAGCACACAAGAACATCCAGGCTGTCTGCTTCCCTCTGTCCTCTTTGCTAAAGGGCTCTGCCAGAGAAGGGAGGTGCACCCTCCACAAAGGCCCTTCTGGAACTTCACAGAAGCGAGGCCACAGGTCTCCTAAGGCACACGGCCCCAGAGGGCCAAAAGTCTCCAGAGTGGCAAACAAAAGCCTCATTCAAAACCCTGGAGCTGGGACTGAGAAGATAAAGTCTCCAAAGCTAGGGTTTTGTCCTATAGGTCAGATGGAGTCCAATTCTTTACTAGCCACCAAACTTGCAGAACCTAATTAAATTGTCAAGGGACAGATGATTTAATTTTAATGTTAGGTCCCTGTGCTTCGGTCAAGAGCCTCAGAAGGTCTGAGTGACAGTGTGTTAACCAACGCCTTCCTTCCCCAGCCCTTGACTACTTAAGTAAGGTCTATCAGAACAGAGTGGTACTGGCCCTAAGTGACAGTAACCACTGGCACAGAGCTCAGCGGGCTCAGTGAGAGGTTCTTTTTCAACAAGTTTGGCTCTTTATATTTAATAATTATTTTTCAAAATATACAATATATTTAGCTGCTTTGATCAACTGAGGACTCTTAGGAACTCGATCCAGAAGGAATCTCCTGACACCTAGACCCTTAGGATCTCAGCCAGCTTCAAAAGTTTTCTAAACATTTCAAATTATGTTGTAGCTTTACAGAAGTATGACAGAGCAATCAGTGAAAGATTTCCACGCATACAAAAGACAACATTAAGATAAAATTCTGTTGAGGAAGTAGGGAAAGAAATGAGGTAAAGAAAGAAAATGAAAGCAGTAAAATTTCTGATGACCTAAAGACAGTTTATTCATATATATATATA